GCTGAAATAACGGAGGGCTGGGGATTAGAGTATGAGGAAAAGAGTCATGCCAAATCAAAAAAGGATTTTGATTATTAGCAGGTCGAGAACACGCGATAGAAACACGAGGCAAGGAGTCAATTGCTGCAAAAGATAGATCAAGTCATCAAGCGCTCGTATCAAATGATCCCAGGACCCGGACTCACGATAACTTTCTTTAGTCAAGTTTGATGATAATCAATACCCACAGCGGGTAACCCTTGGCCCGACGTCGATACGAGCCTGACAAAGGACTTCCAAATCATTCGATAATCACTTTAGATGTGACTCGTACATCAAGCTGTGTAGATGGCGTGGCACGTGGTAACAGCACGGAACAGTGCTCCAACCAAACCAAACTTGAACATCAAAAATCATGTTTCGAGCTGTCTTGGGCCAGAAAAATCTAATAAATGCGTCACGCTTCACAGTAAACCACAGGAATTTTGTTTCTACGGTTCTTCTCTCCCGAACTTGGGAAAATGAGACTCTGGTCACTTTGCGTCATGAAGCGAAAACCCGAGGTCTTTCGACGTGAGTCATTTTCGGCTCCTACGGTTAACTTCTTTGCTTTGTTCTCTTCGCATTGAAATCCGAACTGATTGTATCATCAGCAAAGGCAACAAATCTGACATCATAAACCGAATTCAGGTGCATGAGGAATCTAAAGCTCTTCCTTTTTCGCAACCTACGCCCGCCGTATCTCGCAATGCGTCTTCATCTGCCGCTCCACCACAGACTGCTTCTCCGGACATACCGCCTGCATCCCAGCCCGCGAGTGCATCAAAGACGCCCGACTTTTTCTTGGTCAGATTACCCAACCTCTCTCAAGATGGGCCACGCGAACCCGTTCAAGTAGTAAGTATTTCCCCTCTTTCCTTGATCGATGAGGCGGTCCGGTTTAAGTTACGGGCCTAATGGTTTTATTCCTCATCGACCATATCGAGTCTTTGTCACATGCGAACTCTTTGATACGACCTTGTATTTTCATATCTGATGATCATCCCCTCAGCCCTTCGTTCCCGATTTTTGGGATTCCTCTAGTCCGAAACCCGAGCCCATAGAGCCATCTCACCCAAAATTGCACGTTGTTTCGGGGTCTGCGACACATCCTGATGGTGGTCCCACCTACAATCTTGAAAAGCCTCAGGACGCGGTGGTTATTGAGGAAGTAGTGGTTATCGAGCCGGAAAGTCAATCCAAACCCGCGATTGAATCTGGCTTATTCCGTGATTTTGCCGATGATCTTGGGCTGCAGCGGAGTTTCCAAGTTGGCGAGGCGGTCTCGAATGTGGTACGGGCTGCCAAGGAGCAAGGGCCTGATTTGCACGCAAAGTCTAGGCCCCTCAACAATGAGCAAACCAGAGGAGTTTGGGTCTTGCTCGGTTTACTCGCAGGATCATGGATCGTTGGAGGGTGGGTGAATCGTGCTCGGTCAGTGCCTGAAGTACACAGCACGGAGGAAGGCAAGCACTAGAATCATCTTTGAGAATGTATCGCAACACCCTCTTACATAGAGTCTCTCCTATCTGGTTGTCAGACTTTTCACGTCTACCGTTTTTCTTGATATATTATTCCGAGCGCATGTTTACTTCGCTGGAGATGGACTGGATTGCTTCAAGATAATCTGCCCCGTTCATTTTCTCTGATGAACTTTCGAACCACAATATGTTAGGTCCGGTCTTGCCAAGTCCAGGTCAAACCAATCAAAGGGAGACAATTATTCCTCTTCGTTCCTCATTGTTTATTTCAGGCCATACCCAGCCATGCGTTAGCCATGAGGCAGAGCATGCATCATTGCTCAACTATCGAGATGTTGAAAACTAGTTAGTATGTTATCTTCATCTCAATATATATGTTCATTCGTCTAATGGTCTTTCCAGGGGAGACTACTTTGATGCTACCACTGCTGCAAACAATTCGATAAAGAATGTCAGAACAACCCGCTAGCAGGAGCGAATAAATGATTACGCGACCCACCGATCATGATTGTGTTGTTAGCTGGTTCGTCTCGATCTGTATCTATCATGGGTCTTCTTTGTCTGAAATACCCTTGAGACAGAAATTGGTAGTTCCGGCCGTTGGTTTGTCATAGTATTTTGTTGGTATTTTAGGCCACTTCTTTTTTTTTCGCTCCACTTGCCCGGGCTCAACGTTCAACGAAGGGCCTGCCTACTAGGCTCGTGACCAGGGACAAGTCGAGTGGCGAAACCAACACCTAACATTTCAGAGACGTAGTAGGAACTGGTCATGAGTCTAAAGCCTGTCACATGCATGCCAGTCGACGAGGCAGCAAAAGAACGGTTCGAAGCGAAGTTCCGGCGAGGCGGGCCGCTGGTAATGAGTTAGGGAATTAGTCACTGGTCTATGGATAGTTAATTAATGTTAGTTCGCCGAAGTAAATAAAAACATGCTGATTTCATGGTCAGCTGAACGCACTCAAGGCTTGTTACAGTTCAAAAAGCAAAAGTGAACAATAGCCCACCGCGAGGGTCGAACTCGCAGCCTTCAGATTACGTCAGATGGAACCGACAGTCGTAAAAGTCTGACGCTCTATCCGATTGAGCTAGGCGGGCGCCCGAAAAGCAACCTTCCTATTCTAACAAGACCGCCACCGCGCTTCAAGCTCCGCTTGGGAGCGCGTCGGCTAGTATAAAGCGCGACGCGTCTTTGTAGGGGTGTTTACGTGTTTTCTGTGTTTTCTTTCCTTTTACTTTGCTTTGAGCAAGACTTTATGCCGTTCAAGGTATCTTAGTTCGTCAACGTTCAAACTGACAACTTGCTTACCTTTGACTCAGCCCAACTCAACCGCCTCCAAGGCGCCCGCTTCCAAAGCTGCTAAAGCACCCGTGTCGTCAGCGGGACAGCAGAAAGCAGCTAGGAAGGCACCTTCTAAAGAAGATGGGGACATGAAAAAGAAGCGTAAGAAGGCAAGGAAGGAGACATACAGCAGTTACATTTACAAGGGTGTGTTTACCTATTCGCTTTTGCTCGCATTCGGCTGCAATAACTGGCTAACATGTTTTCCCTTTTAGTGCTAAGGCAGGTCCATCCCGATACTGGGATATCGAACAAGGGAATGGGCGTTTTGAATTCATTCGTAAATGACCTGTTCGAAAGGATCGCCACGGAAGCGAGCAGTACGTCATTTTGGTCGATTTTGTTTTATTTTGGCAGCGACCGATGTCTTCCCGTTGTGCAGAGCTTGCATCTTATACGAAGAAGTCTACTATCTCCTCGCGTGAAATTCAGACAGCAGTGAGGCTTATTCTTCCCGGAGAGCTCGCAAAGCATGCGATTAGTGAGGGAACGAAGAGTGTTACAAGTGCGTGTTCTTTTCCCTTGTGGGTGCAAACGATAACATTTGTGGGCAGAATTCTCTGCTGCCAGGTGAGACGTGCAGTTACGCACGCCATGGCAGCGAGAGCCAGGTCCGATTTTGACGCATCGAGCATGGTAATTGGGCAGACGCGGATCTATTAAATATATAGCATAGTCCATCTCGTAAATATTATGCATACCCTCTTAGCAGCAGCAGCATATCCCTAACATAATGTATAATCGTTTCCAAGAACCTAGAAACCTGTAGGATTGATGAGTCGTGTAATGGAGAGGCTACACAAGGGAAAATACACGCACCATATTTGTTCCCTGCCTCTTTCCTGTTCCTGCGTGCCTGTGCGATCTTCTCCTCCATTGCCTCCCGGTTCTGGTAAGCGTCTGTGAGGAGCGTCGTCAATTGATGTCGTGAACGAGCTGTCGAGCCTAGTTTTGCGCCCTGTAGAGTATAGTATCGTGAGGACTAGTCTACCATGCAACGGAAGCATCCAGAACAGCACACAGACCTGTACGTTCATCCGCGGTCGTTCTGGCTCCCCGGTCTTGACGCCTGTAAGAGCCTTCCTGTCTTCCCTCTCTTTTATCTCTTTCCGTGCTTTCTCCATCTCTGTCTGCATGTTGACCTCCGCCGCTTCTTCTGCCTCTCTCTCCACCTCACCTTTCTCGAGTGCGCGGACCTGGGAGTCATATTCTTTCTGCCACTTTTTGACGAATGTGGCGTAGTATGCCTGGTCGTGAGCGGCCCAGGCACCGGAGGGGAGGAGGTAGTATCCAGGGTAGGGGTCAGTAGGCGTTGGAGATGGGGGAGTGAATGAGGCCACCTCAGGGGCAGACGAGACGGTTGGTGTGAATGTGTTTGGTGTCGTGGACGTAGAAGGTACAGTAGAATTAGGTCTCGAAGAGGTACCTGCAGTGGATCAGGATAAGAAATGCAGAGTCGCGGGGAACATACCGAGAGAGAAAAAGTTCACAACGGGTCCCTTTGACGGTGCTTGAGGCTGATAGTCCTCACGGTCTAGATTGACATTGGATTTGCCCTTCTTGATTGAAGGGGGTAGGAAAGACATGGATGCTTCCTCGCCATCTCCTTCGCCGTCCTCCTGCACGCTCGCCGGTGCATGAAACACTAACCCCGGACCATTTCCGCCTCCAAGCATACGTTCAGCCTTCTTGGGTTTGACGGGCAGAGGCTGAGTAGGTGCGGGTAGCATGTTGAGAAGGGATGATGCGCCTGCCCCTTTGCTGGATGTGATTCGGGGTTTCTTGACTGGTGGTCGGTCATCTGTATCAGAATCATTTGAAGGAAGCGAGGGGAGCGTGATTTCGATCTTCTTTGTGCGTTTTGTTTTGGTTAGTGGTGGAAGTGAGAGACTTGATGATTTGGGTGCAGGTAGGGAGAGGCCTGAGGGCTTCGATGGCGTTGGTACTGGTGCTTTAGGAAACGATACGGTGGGCGGCGCTTCGTCTTCACTGTCGACGTCGCTACCGTAGTCTTCTATGCCTAGCATACTGTCTTGCTCGTCGTGGAGAGCGATGAGCAGATGTTGATGTTTGTTTGTACTGATGAATCGCAGAGTATTGTATTACATTGTCAATTTGTATTGCATTTGAGGACCCCACTGCAGTCAGCTTTTTAAGCAAGGATGGCGTCGCCTGCACCACGAAAAACGCACAGATACGCTACGCCGCGTCAATCAGTGACGCCGCCTAGACAGCGCCGCATGGTCAGTGCACGCCCTGCCGGCACACCTTCTAGGCGAACTGAGGATATCGCTGTGGTACAAGACGTCATGGACGTCGACGACGTGCAAATGTATAATGAACGTGTACTAGGATCAGGGAGGGAGACTCTCTACGCGCGCACGGACGAGATCAGTGTTGCTTTTCATGCTGCACTCCCGTTTGAAGTCAGGCGCGAGTTAAAGGGTGCTGGTACGTCCATCTGCTCAACTCAATTCATCCAAGCGTTGAAAATAAGCTTGACCGTACACAGATTTCTATTCTCAATCTTGGACAGGTGCAGTTGATGCCATCACGGGGTACGCCCTTGCCGCGTCCTCGAACACTTGTTTCGTCTGGCATCACACCAAACCGACTACATGCTACATCCTCCCTTGTCCACCTTCCTCTCAAGATTATGCGCAACCTCCATCTGCACCATTCCACGCTCTAGTCCCCTCTAGGTCACGTTCAGAACCTGGTCTTGTCCTTCTCTCCATCCGCGGTGACATCCGTTTCTGGGACAGCATAACCAGCGGTCTAGCAGGCGGGGGCAGTTTCGAAAGCATCAATCTTGAGCTCGGAGAGGGAGAATATACGTCTGGACTGCTTAGGATTGACGTAGGTGCCTCAGCACGCTCATGTCTTTTGTGTTGATGTACGCTCGTAGGGTCAAATCTACATTGCATCTACCTCGCATGGACGTCTATTTAGACTCACGCTCACATCTCAAAGCGGGCGGCATACGCTCTCAGCAAGGCTTTTTGCACCGCCGCCTGCACCTGGGCTCTCTCTTGCGCGTCTCCTCTGGTCCACGCCTGCTCCCCAGCCTACACTAGGGAATATATCTGCTCTTGCTCTTGGTTTTGGTAGTGGCGAGGTTGGAAGGGGTATGGTAGCAGATAAGGAATTATGGACGCTCAGCGAGACCCGCGTGCAGAGGTGGAGCTTGAATAAGGAGGTGTTACTGGGTGAAGTGGATGTCCGAGAGGCAGTGGGGAACGTGGAGGATCTGGAGGGTGTCGATTTGGGCGTGGAGAGGTGCATTTTGATCGTGATGGGTTAAAATTTAGCTAATTGCCGCGTCTACAGCGATGGGACACTCGTTGTTCTGGTCTCATACGCCGGGTCCGAGCAAGAGACAGCTGCGATGGCGCTTGACCAGTACGGTGGGTTTGGTATGGGCGCACCGGTACCGAGAAGGATATATGCGCTTGTTAGACTTAGTGCTAGCACGAAGCGGGGTGAGGTGGCGAAGTTTGAGGGAGGAGGTGGAGATGGAGGTGTGATAGAGGGCATAGGTGGAGGCATGAAGATAGATGGTGTCACGGGGGTGCTATATGCTACGGTGGGACTCTCTATCTTGGCTCTGCATGAAATCTAGCTAAAAAGCGTGCTCATAGACAGCCGCGTCGGCGCCCTTACATCCTCGTCTGACACTCCTCGGGGGAGGTGCAGTCGTAGCGATCAGATTCGTAGATGTGGTCGTATTTTGTGCTCGGGGTGCGTTCTCGTCTCAGCCTGCCATAATCCAGCGAACAGCTGACCCCCCTTGCGGCATAGACTCTCCCTACCAGGATCGCCTTACCCTGAAAGCCCCCAACACAGATCAGATACTCGGACTCGGTGTGCTTACAACATTCCAATCCTCAGTGCACTCGTTTTCTGCAGAACAGGAACAAGGGGAAGGAGCAGGACCCGAGGACATGCTCATACTAACAGCCGGCGTGCTCATGCGTGCTCGTGTGGATTTAGGGAGGGTCAAATCATTCGATGAGGCGTAAGTCGCGTTCCTCCCCTCCCTCTACTTCTTTGCTCCGTGTCCTGATGACTGAGCCAATCTGATTCCACAGAACCGGCCGCGCGATCCTCATAAGAGCACTCCTCACACAAGCCATACTTTACGGAAGCAACCCCGATAACCCCCTACATTTCTCGTTTCCGCCCGAGGTTGATGCCGAGGCGCTCATGACAGGTGCAGAGGGGTTAAGCAGGGCCGTCCTCGAGAGCGGTACGTACATATTATTCTTGCAGCTACTACAAAGACGCTGATTTCTTCTGTGATGATTTCGGTCGGTTATTTTCATTATTGGCGCGACACCTTTATTCCAACCGGAAAGACCCAGAGATCATCCGACCAAATCATGACCTCACCTCTCAACTGACCTCTCGAAAAGATAGGCTCAGCTGGCTCATACGTTTCATCAATGACAATGCAGCACTCGGAAAGATGTCGCAGCGCAGCCGCCAGCGTCTTGCTACAGATGCGGAAAAACTTTATGCATGTCATCAGCTTTGGTTGAAGATGAATGAACATTTAGAGTGCGTCCTCTATCTACTCCTTCCTTTATTTCCCCCTCTGACTACATCCGAACAGCGCTGGGGCCTCCCACTCCCTCGTCACTGATGCTATTCACACATTCACAGCCGCCCACCCTCTTTTACACCCATCCGCTTCGCACGATGTTGTCCGAGATTTCTTCAGGTATAGAGTAGCGGAGATTGGCCGGCTGATTCCGTTCATGGTGGAACGGGTTGAGAGGGCTGGAGAAGGTGCCATGAGAGAGGTTGGAGGTGCTGTTGTTGTGAGTTTTTACCCTCTCACTCTCACAATGTTTTATACGTGTTTGGAATGGTTCTGATGTGGACTCTAGACGATTCTGCAAGCAGCGCTCTCGTATAGAGCGTATAATCTTGCCGTGTATGGCATCGAACTGCCTATGATCAAGCCGTGGACGAGCCGCCCGAGTGCCATCGATGGTGTGTTAAAGCTTGTCGATGCAGCCACGAGGTGTGTAGATTTGGGATTCGTTTATCATATGTATCGTGACCCTTCTTTGCTATAGGTTCGCGCTTGACCCGAGCAAAGCAAACACTAAAAGCGCATCGAGGGAGCTTCTCCCAGAGCTTGCGACAATGTTTTTCGCATGTATGCAAGAGAGATTGGATTGGCTCGATAGGCAAGTTGTTTATCTCAATGCATAGCCTGAGAGAGAAGAAGGCTAATCGACGGATAGTCCCATAGCAGCAGACGAACCTGGTTCCGAGAGGGACCACATAGAGCTCAAAGAACGCTTCGATCAACTCCGCCCCGAGATCCTCGAAACTCTTCGTACGCTTTCCCTTCTTTCAGTCTTCTCCCTTTCATTTTCCTAACTACCTCATAATTTACAGGTCTGACCTCTTACCTCCCAAACGCTCTCACGCTCGCCGCATCACACGCCGACTTCCGCTCTCTCGCTGCGCTATTACACCAAGACACCGTCTACCCGCCCTCTTCCAATCCGCACGCGCGCACGATCGAAGACTATGTCGACCGCTTTGGCGGAATGTTTGCGAGGGAGGTTGTGCGATGGTGTATGGTGCATGGGGAAGCGAGGGTGGTATTTGCGATGGAGGAGAGTGGGAGGGGAGAGTGGGGAAAGTATATGGATGAGTACTGGGCGGAGGAGGAAGGTGAGGGAGGCAAATGCGATGCGGTGGCGTGGTTGAGGGATTTGGGGCAGGGGCGGTGGAGTGTTGCTGGCACAAGATTGTTTAGAGAGGCGAAGGGCGCTGGGGATGTAGGTGTTAAGCATGTGAGTCAATTTGGATTTCGGTGATTGGATTGAGGTAGGTGTTGATTGGTGTGCGGTGTAGTTTATGCTTAGCGTAGGCAAGCTTGCGCATTTGGCGCAGATGCAGGAGGCTGGGGATGCGGACGATGCTGTATTGGATGGTACGTTTGTTCGGTTTCTTTTTGCACCGATGTGCTTGACTAAATGCCGTCCAGCATTCCATGATAGCCTGGATTTTATATCGGTGCAGGAGAAAATTCTTCAGGAGTTCCGGGAAGCTGTCAGCAGTTTGCGGGGCAAACAAAAACAGAGCCTGGACGCGCAAGTGGACGCGGTAATAAGGGCGAAAGGTACCAGACTGAAGGGAGACCGGAGGCACGGGCTGCTTGGGGTGCGTACATTTCTATTGTTTCTCTTGATTTGTGCTGATTTCCATGAGCAGATAATGAAGATTTTTGTGAGGCAAGTGCTTCAGGGCAAGGCGCTCAGCTTGGAAGATGCGGCGGACGTGCTCACACTGCAAGACAATGCGGAGGGCGTGGAAAACTATGCTACTGCGCTGCACTTACTCGCGCATGCCGAGGTATGTCGTCGCGCTTATCATGGCTTTTTTGTCGCCGGAATGACGACTGTCGTACAAGGATATTCCAGACGCGAGGAGACAATCCTCATTCAAAAGAGTGTGGTGTAGAATATACAATCACGATGAGTATGTACCATTTCCCTATCCCATTCATCAGCTTTAATGGTCATTTTAGCTGGGACTCCATTCGCGAAACTGCCAACATCACTGACGCCCAACTAACCTCCCGCTTCCGTGCAACCGCGCTTTATACCACGTTCAACGTTATTCTACCCTCACCCCAATTATCTCAAATACCAGGTGTCGACCTTGACACGAAGGAATGCTTGTCAGTGCCTTTGATGCCCGAGATCAAGTCGCGTTTCCCAGGCATACAGGAGGACATGGTGGGTGACTTGGCGAGAGATTACAGAGCCGAGAGCTCAGGAGTCGAAGGACTGAGACTGGGAGACGTGTATCATCGTGTCAGGGAACTGGTGATGCTGGACCTGGGGTACGCAAGAGAGGGATAGAGTAGTGTCGTACGAGACCTGCAGTTGCAAAATCTATACAAATTATAGAAACCTCCAGCTCGTCAACCTCTTTTTTACCCTCTGAAACTCAACTTTAGCAGAGAGCGAGAGATCCTCGAATGTCCGTTTCCTGAGCTCCGCGGCATACTCGTCCTGGCGCGCCCGTTCCTGGACTACCCACTTCTTGTAAAAGTCAGACAATGCGTGCTCGTGTGCTTCTGTAGGTGCATTGGGTGGGAGGGCAGCGAGGACTGAGGATTTGGCAGCCTCGAAGCGGGTGTTACTCTAGTAGTGATCGATTCGAATCGTTGGTTCTGAATCACGATAATGCAGAACCTACCTCTGCCCAGTATGCGTGGTTGAACGCGTCGAGCTGTTCTCGATGGAGTTTCCACTGTAGTTCGTGGTCTACCGTATCGTCTGAGAATTCTCTGAGGGAGTATGGGTGCTGTTTAGACTCAGAAGGGGAGGACGAAGAGGTGGCAGTGGTGTATATGATGGGACGGAGGTTGGAAGTTGGATCTGGAAGCCCGATGAAGTTGAACGATGGCCTGGACGTGTGGATAAGACGTTTGTACGCGGAAAGGTGAGCTAGAGATGTCCGTGGTGACATGATAGTGGTGGCTTGAGACAAAGCTTACTCCAGCTTACATCGACACATTCGTTACAGTTTCAATTCTCATTCGTCCAACGCATAACAGAAGGAACGATGGTCTGTCACATGGTAGATATCTTCCGCGACTACCTCTTTAACATGTGTTGAAGTTCTACAAACAATCGTCCGGTAACCAATTGCAGTGATCCAATGCTGCATACCAGACTTCCTATCGGTATGATTGCAAGGGTAGAAATACAATTTGATAAAAAACATGGTGAGATGTCAAATATTCGAAAGACGTAGTTGAGACATAGGTAGAACAAGAAAAATGTTACAACTGGAGAAATGGCGAAAGAGCGAACAGCAAAACACTCAACTACGAAACACGGCTAATTTAAAAATTTGGATGGATTAGGCCCATCACTAGCCGCACCTCGCTTGATGGCTCGCTTTTCTTGTTCCATTGCAAATGGGTCACTGAGACTATACCGCCGCTGGGAAATGCTTGAAACGCGTTCCCGAATGCCGGGGAACGACCTTCGCACGACGGCGTCTAGCTGAGGCCAAATCTCGTCCGACGTTTCGCCTTGCAGAGTAACAAGTCGTGCTAATTTGTTGACTGGCGATGCGTAATATGCGAGCAGGGGCGACGTGGAATCGTAAAATTGCTTGAGACGGCGAGAAAATATCTCCTGATTAATCATCCGTCGGAACTTTGTTATGAACATTTAGGTTTTGAATCCACGTACAGGGTTATCATCAGGTCGCCTCGTCAATGGTTCGCCTGTTTCGTCATCGAAGCCATCCACTTTGGGTCGGTTGTATGACATATTGTACACACGGCCAGATGGCAAATGAACCCAGCGGTCAGATATCCGACTCAGGATGACATTGTCTGCGACATCCAAGTTGACTACAAGACTTAATGGGGCATTCTGGCTCCTGAGACATTAGTCAATATGCGGGCCCCGACGATATGAGATTAGAATTACGAACTGAAGATGAGCATCCAGCAATTTGCCTTGACCTAGCGTTCGTGGAAAGCCGTCCAAAATCCAATGCTGTAAAAATGGGGCACTAATTCAGGCCCGTAACCACGTCGGAGGGAAATGTGGCAGACTGACCCTGTTGTTGAGCGACTCGAGTTTGCTCGCGACCACTTTTAGCATGACATCATCAGGAAGTAAGCTTCCCTGTGCAACGATTTCTTCTGCCTGTCTGCCAATTTCCGTTCTAATACCATGACAAGCAAGGGTTAGCACCGCAGCACCATGCGCCGTAGCCACATATGTGACACGTGAAATTTGACCTCACCTCTCCGCGATGTGTTGCCGCAAAAGGTCACCAGTGGATAGGGACAGTATGTCATACTTCTTCACGAGACGGGCTGAGAGTGTTCCCTTGCCAGCGCCGGGTTTTCCGAACATGAGCATACGCAAGACCTTGCCGTCATTTTGTTCTGCTGAGCGCAGAGTGTTAAGATAAAATGGTAGTGCCTTTGAAACCGATACAGAATGGGAGATAGATCTGTGCGCAGTTGCAGTGGGGGCGATTCGTATTGACGGGGCGCGAGCGAACAGAAAGTTCATGAGGAAGGAAACGGATAGAATTAGAGGCGAATTAATGATAGGTATATATTCCGCTGGGTGGTATCGAATGATGTGTTTATTTAATGTCGTTCGATAAATTTTGCTTCGTCGATACGTACGAACGTACGCGCGGATAGTTTAGTGTAATGCTTGGCGAGGTACGCTTCCTCGCTTCACCAACAATTTGGGGGAGAGTGGCGGGGTGTTACGTGGTAATGAGGTGTTACGTGGGGAAGAAGTCTGCACCCATTTCAATGATTTAAAGGAGACAGTTTGTGTCATACCAAAGTAAGCAAGTGCAAATCACACAATTGGAGTCTAGACTTCATTCCACGGCAGAGGTTCATGTCGATGGGTGACAAAGTACTGTACTTTGCCAACGAGTCACCACGACGTCCCCCTCGATGGTAACACCCGTTGGAAATGCCATGGCTTAGCATCTCCAGTCTTTACCCGCTATCATCATAGCCACTCGCGAGTCTATCTGTGGTTAGTCACGATCTCACACGCCAACGTCCATGTGACCATCCGCGATAGTTATTGCGCTATACCACTAGCAACGTGCGTTCCCTGGGGGAGGTCAAATCCCTTTTATAAGTTTCAGGCAGTCATCGGCTTACCTGAAAGATCTCTACCCCAGGAATCCTGTACCTGGCTTGGAGACCTCGTCATCAGTCGAGCGCCCAATCTTTCCATATCTAATCTTGGTACCAAGCGTCTCAGGCTGCGTGTGCGTGTGAGACCTCAATTGGGGGTGAGGGGATTGAATTTACGCAAGGTATGTCAGCGAACCTCCCGCTTCAAGTGTTTTTTGCTCTACTTATCATCTAAACTATTGGATAATGATAAGTAAAAGCTTGGGTAACGTGTCATTGATCGGGATAGTCAGAATGTGCAACCATATCTCCGCTCGAGACATTGCCTAGGTTCTGCATTACCCGTTATATGTATGTACCAGTCCAAAAATGACAGTACGCACTGGTATACGGCAGAGGAGCACGTCTTATTCCCAATGACTGACCGAGCCCATGACAGGCGAAGTTCGGACTTTGCCTCTCCGTGCATCTATCTCCGAGTCAGTGCTAGCCAGATAACTGTCTACTCACACTGTCAAAGCACTTCTACTCGCTGGAAGACTTTGCCATAATGCTGAAGCCTCGATTGTTTATACAGTTCTTGACGAGAGCACTGCGTCTGAAATTCTCCGAGTCTTCCCCCGAGTCACTAGGTATTTTTATACTAACTACAACACCTAACAATGTTATCGGCTTGCATAATGCTAACGTCCTTTATATATTCTTTTCACGAAACTAGCGCATAATCGGTCGACCAAGAATTAACGATTTACCACGAAGGAACAAAAAAAATGTACAGTATGACGTCGAGGGAATATGAAAGGTATATAATGTTCTAGGTGTTTGCCGCCGGCTCCTCTGATCCCGTCTGGGACATACCAATCAGTTGGTGCATTTCGCGTACACCAACAACACCACGTATATCCTTAGCTGGATCCAAGGAAATACATATAGCCTCGGCCAGATGATCCACATGAATTGGCGGAATCGAGAGCAAGTTCGCCAAGGAATTCAGGGAGGAAGGCGTTTTGTCCGTAGCATTGGGAAACACCGACGTGCCTAACCACCGAAGAACCGAAGCAGGCATCGGGACATATGATGGTACTGCGTCATGGACTCGTGACGAGAAACCGAATATCGTAGCTGGAATAGTAGTCATTGGTCGGTTGTGCGGATGGTATATTATACCTAGTATGACACGTTATTAAAAATTGAATTGTCAATGATATGTACTTACTGGGGCGGACATACACCCCCTTGTATTGAGGATGATCTGTGACGATTTCCTCAATTCGCTTCTCGGCCTCCCGTTTCGTTTCGAAATAGCGCGCGGAGACAAGAGGTCGGTTGAAGTCCTCCGCGGAGACGTACACGAAGGGACGAACACGTGTAAGTCCGGATACGGGCTTACTCGCGACGAATGTTTCACACATACGAACAGCTGACAACGCATGATGAATACCGCACGCAGTAAAACGAGGCCATTAAGGATCACGCACCTGATTCATAATTGAGGATATCGTAAGCGCTCCGCTGACCTTCTGCTGCAGGACCACCCATGCCCACAAGGTATTTAATAAAGCCCAATAAATCACCCTCTTGCATCTTCTGCTTGTACTGCGTGTTGTCTAGAAGTGTACCAACAGTGTGGACGACGGCATCAACACTGGGGAGAATGTCCGCATATGATTCCGGGTTCATGGCGTCAGCCTTCCGCCACTCTACCTGTTTGGGGTTTGAGTGGGCTGATGTGGTAGGGAGGGGGGCACGAGGCACGTACTCTTTCCACCCATGCAGGGGTATGGCCTTGTGGAGTTTTGTAAGGTTTTCCGGAAGAGCTGCCGCACCGCGGATGGTAGAATTGTTATACGCTGCAGAAATGACTTACCTTATACTGGTGACCTCCATTCCTCGGGCAAGAGCGATTTTACAAACCGCGGATCCTGCAAGCCATAAATGATTTGGTACGATATAAGGAGTTAGAAGCTCATACCAACGAAACCATTACCACCAACAACCAGAATTTTATGAGCAATAGCTGACATGGTGTCTAGTTTAGAGCTGTATGAATACTTGATATTTATATCAACCTGGTTGTAGACGCGTCGACAACGCGCAAAACCTATATATGGGGGTGTTTGCAACTATTTGGTAAGCATTTCACGGCGCTGGATAGTTGAATTGGGATGTCCGTGATGACGCGGCTGACAGGCTGTGGCTCGCCCGAGTGTATGCCCGACCTACTGACATGATATGCAATAGTGACCCTGTCCATCGGCCCATTAGTGAACCGATGTAGCCCTCCTTTTCAAATCTGTTCACAGCCCTCATCAAGGAGCAATCAATTTTTTTTCTTTTCGCTTGTTGACTGGGTGATTAATGGCCGCATCCAATATTACATAATATGGATAGGCAAAATGACCGCCGTCACATGACTCACATCGTCTAGCGTTAGTTCTTCCCCGATCGAATAATGAGTACTTGAGTACTTGAGTTTTCGCAGCATTTAGATTTTAGATTTTTATTCAAACCTTAAAGGTCGGAGTGTTGTCACATACCTTGTTGCAACGTAGACCAATTGTAACTAGATCTACAGTGTTATTGAAATGTCGTTACACAATAGCCACAAATTCAGCCTTGTATTTTGAACGTACAATAATTAAACTGAAGACCCCCCCTCCCCCTTTCTGGGTATGAACGTTGACCGTTGACGTTGACGGCGGCATGTTGGCACAAGGACTCTAGACCATCGAACAAAAACGTTCTAAACGCTGCGATGCATACATCTATCTCCATAAGGAACAAATCATAATAGCGAGCGCTGGAACGTTGTCACCATCCGATGTCAAAGATCATCATCGACAACCTTCGACGATACAGAAGACAAGGTCCTAATAATAAGTGGCACGTTGCCAAAGTTCAGCAACCTTGTATAAACCAGGATTTCCCTTTGTTCTTTTAGTACAGCACTCACAATGACATCGATCAAATGATTTAATATCTATGTTATTACGCACTGCGTCGTCTATGTGAATATGACATGACCAACAATCTGTGACTAGCCAGCTATCAACGTATCAACAATGTATGAAACATATTGCATGCCCTGAATATGATAAAAACCCGATAACAAAAGAAATTCATGAGTATGCGTGATTCCGAGTGATTGTAAAGCCATATAAACAAGAGCGAACAATGAATGTGTTGCCAGTGGAGGGAATGGGCATTTGATCGTCGGTGTGGAAACCAAGAGCCACCAGGGTCGTTAATGTCCTGAACGCCAACGCCAGCTACCATGCTCCAACGGGACTAGCCCGTCAAACCAAATAACGCATCAATGCGGCAAAGGAATGAAAACAGTGAACGATGGAAGAGGCACACAGTGTCTGCTAAGGGACAACTAATTAAGGAACTTCCAGGTAACTATTAAGGGTCAGGTCAGCCAGGATCATTAAACCAAGTGATGAGACAAGACGTACTGGGAAGGTCGCCAACGGAGAGGTTGTCTAGAGCTTGGAAGGCAGCAACAGAAAGGTCGATGGAGTTCTCGTTCTGACAAGTCGGGCAGTCATCAGCAATCGTAACCACAACGGTGTTGCCGTTGATCTGATTGGTGATTTGGACCTGTTGACCACAAAGGGGGGAAGCATTGCCAGAGTTGCCGTAACGAGATTGATCCATAGCGCAGATGAAGTCAGAATCAGAGTGGACTGTTCCACATGCGCCTGGGTTGCCTTCCTGGTAGAAGTAAGTTGCACTGTAATGCAAATTTGAGTATTTGAGCAGTGGTAAGACAAAATATATTTACTATCCGCCATAGTTCAGACTGCTGTCGCTAGAACCAGTGGATGGCGCGGTCGTCGAGACTGCCTCCGAGGTAGTAGTCGGAGCAGGGACAGCGATGGGGGTGTTGCTCGTAGTGGGCAGAGGGGCAGGCTGCACGGGGGTGGAGGATGCAGGAGAAGCTGTTGGAGTCGATGAGGGACCATCATCACAGCCATCATCATTCGATACAAGTTCACCATTGCTGCAGGAGTCACCAGAGGGCATCTGGCACTGAGCGGGGAGAGCGCTAGCGCTCTCGCCGGCCTAGATGGACTATGAGCAAGGTCAATCCAAGATATACAACGTAACACCAACCGCGAGGGGGTGGCAGCAGTCAGAAAAGAATTCCGTGTTGTGCTGGGTTTGGCACTGGAGTGCGACATATCTACAGTGGTAGGTGTCATAGGGCTGAGAAACGGTGTCAGGACACAAGGGCATAATTCACGAGGGATAGATTGACAAACCTCAAGAGCTGAGGTGTCCCAGCCTTGAGGGGCAGTCGCGCGAGGAACGACGAGCGCAGACACTACAGACGTAGCAATGAGGGACAGGACGAGTGTTGCAAATGTGGAGAACATGTTGAATAATGTGTAAATAGGAGAAAAAGAATGCAGATGTGGAGAGAGCGGGGGTGAAGACGAGGTGTTCGTGATCAACGAGTGACAGGACACTTGCAAAGGTCCAACTATTTAAGTCAAAAAAATGGTGTTAGCACGCACGAAAAGCATGAGTCGGACGCGAGGAACCGACGTTATGAAAAAACGAAGGAATGCGTTTACCTGACGGTAATTGAAGGGAGAAAGAAAGTAGTAGGAGGAGAGACACGGTTATTACTTCCGAATAAAGTCTTTCAGACTTTTATCCCTTGTATGACCGGATTAATGGATTTCATTTCCCACGTCGGCAAAACGTTGTCCTCGATTGCAGTCACATTTTTTTTATTGTGCCACAGAAGCCTTGTATACAGGCTTGCTTCAACTAGTGTGGTGTAACCACATGATTGGCAAGTCCAATGGGTAATGTCATTTTGCTGTAAGATGATCATTTCATTTGTAGAAAATTTTCTATTAGGTCCCCGCAGCAGTGCATGGCTACGCATGTACATGCCCGCTTAAATGTCCACAAATAGGCGTATACGATCGAAAAATAATAATTCTGACAAAGGGGGGTTATTCCGGCGAATTCCGATGCTCGGTTACTTGTGGCAGTGGTGCACATCCTTCTTCGTCGGACGGTAACTTTCAGGAACATAGCTAGCTAAAGCGAAATAACTACACACCAGCAATAGAATCTCTCCAGTCATGAGTGCGTTCTCATTGAAAATTCTCAACTGTCCCCTAACTTGAATTTGTCTAAGGTGAATTCACTGAAAACCCCTTCGCCTCAAGCCATTCGCTTGACACAAATCCCTTTGACGACCCATCATCAAAGCAAGTCCCTCAACACGACGCCCGTTTTGAGGATATTAGCAGACGAGAACAAGATTTGGAAAGACGTGAGCGCGAACTGAACCAGAGAGCAGAGCATATTCGTACCCATGGACGCAACAATTGGCCACCGTGTAGGAGCCAGACTGCGCATTTCATCGCAACGTATACTCATCCTCCAAACCAGTTTACCCTCTTATTTACCATGCCATTTCCGAAGAGATTCCTGAGGCTTCAAGACCTTTGATCACTCGCCTGTACCAGCTCTGGCTTGTCCTTTTGGGAACCCTAATCTTGAATATGGTAGCCTGTATATCTCTTCTAATTGCTGGTTCAAGCGACGGCGGAAAGGACCTCGGTGGAAGTATAGGGTGAGCAAGGTTCTAGTGTGTATTCTCTTCCTCGCTCAATGAAACGCTAGATACATGTTCATCATCGCGCCTTTATCGTTCTTGTTGTGGTATAGGTAAGTCATGGGCATCCATGCTACACCAGGGTTTCAGAAATTTACCCCTCATTAGGCCCATATATAATGGTTATATGAAGGTTAGCGTTATTTGCAACATCCTACCAGCATGTTCTCAAATTGACATGACATGCAGGAGCAAGCGCTTTACTACTGTCCGTCGAACTAAAATTTGATCCTCGATCGCGCTAAACCGCATTTCATTTTCACAGACTTCTATTTCTTCTTTGGTGGCTTCCACCTTCTCTTCAGTGTTTACATGTGCGTGTACGCCTCGCAAACCATGACTATCAAGCTGAATGTGGTTTCATTCCGTGCAGGATCATCGGGATTCCCAGTACAGGGTCTGCAGGGCTTATTCAGACAATTCAGATGTACGCGCAAGGCCACTGGGCCGCTGGCATTCTTGGCACGATCGCTACAGTTGGCTGGACAGTGCAAGGATTAGGGAATGCTTTCTATTACCGTCAGGTACGTTGCTCCGTGCAGTCTGCGCAGTAGAGGCGTGACTAGGGCCACTTGCAGATATGGAACCACCATTCAGCTGCCGGACACACCATGGACAAGGTAATTTATTTTGACATACGTGTGCCAGGTTTAGGGTGCTGATGCGGTCCTGCAGGCTAAAGCAGAGCTGGCTTCTCATGGCGCGAAGGCTTATTTCACGCGAGGCTGATATTACGCTTCCTTCTCGAATAGTACTTACTTGGTCATGTGGCGAATTCGTGCATGTACTACTTACCTCTCCGATCACGAACTCTTGTCTAAATATGAGCTATGATCACTGCACAATGGATGGCCTTGTATGATCGGATCAATGGCATAAAACTTGTGGAACAAATATTGTGCTAGATGAAACAAGAGAAAAAATTAAGCCTCCACCCTTGCTTCCACCAGTGGATGGTCTGAGTAAGCTGAGTTTGAAAATTGAAGATTGATCTAAAAGCGTCCAGCTTCACTTGTTTTCTACAACCACCACCTTGGTTAGTCTCGTCATCCATGTTTCCAAGTGTCGCGTGCTAACTGGTTTCAATAGCCTAAAAGACCAAAAAATTTCATAAAAAAGACTTTAGAAAAAAAAGCGGTTGCCTTGTTGCCTCCTGTGTACGTTCGTCTCTTCTTATCATCTCCGTTCATCTTGTTTATCAATCTACATCTTATGTCCGTGCAGTCGCAGAAAAAGTCCTCAAAGCAGTAACGACCCCAAAATCCAGAAAACCAAATATGTCTTCATCTTCCGTTCCCGAGACCGTTCCGGTGGTCCAACCCGAGCCTGCACCTGCTGGCCCAGCTCCAACTCCATCTTACAACCCTCAGACTTCGGTCACGTCCTCTCCTTCGGCTTCGCTTTATGTCGGCGAACTTGACCCTACCGTCACGGAAGCCATGCTGTTTGAGATCTTCAATATGATCGGTCCGGTTGCAAGGTGCGTGTTTTAGTCGCCTGGTTCCATTAGGTTCTGAAGTGTCGTGGCATATTCCAGCATCCGTGTCTGCCGCGACGCTGTGACGCGTCGCTCCCTCGGATACGCGTACGTCAATTATCTAAACACCAGTGATGGTACGTCGATTACAGTAGACTCATTCTCAGATTGGTTGTCTAATCTAATGATTATCCTAGGTGAGCGTGCTCTCGAGCAGCTCAACTACTCGCTTATTAAGAACCGTGCATGGTAAGTGGCCAACACGTCACCAGGGCACAGAGTTATTATTCACAGTTTTATTAAAGCCGTATCATGTGGTCCCAGCGTGATCCTGCCTTGCGCAAAACTGGTCAAGGTAACATCTTCATCAAGAACCTTGACGAGGCCATCGACAACAAAGTAAGCTTTTGCGCAAATATTACACTCTCAGCATCTTACAGGTCATTCCAGGCTCTTCATGATACGTTTGCTGCCTTCGGCAACGTTTTGTCGTGCAAGGTTGCCACTGACGAGCAGGGCCGCTCGAAGGGCTATGGTTTTGTTCATTATGAGACTGCGGAAGCTGCCGATAGTGCCATCAAGGCTGTCAACGGCATGCTCTTGAACGACAAGAAGGTGTATGTCGGTCACCACATCTCTCGCAAGGTTTGCGTCAATTGTCAGAATGTGTGGTCTCATACTTAACTCCTCCCCTATTTTCATAGGAACGTCAATCCAAGCTCGACGAGATGAAGGCCCAATTCACCAATTTATATATTAAGAACCTTGACCTCGAAGTCACCCAAGAGGAGTTCGAGGAGCTCTTCAACCGATATGGTAATGTGACTTCCGCAATCATCCAGGTCGATGATGAGGGCAAGAGCAAGGGTTTCGGCTTCGTCAATTATGAGTCACACGATGAGGCCCAGAGAGCTGTCGACAACCTTCACGACACGGAGATCAACGGCAAGAAGCTCTTCGTCTCCCGTGCCCAGAAGAAGGCTGAGCGCGAGGAGGAATTGCGCAGGTCTTATGAGCAGGCGAAGATGGAGAAGCTCAGCAAGTATGCGGGTGTCAACCTTTACATCAAGAACCTGGAGGATGACGTTGATGATGAGAAGCTCCGAGGCGAGTTCGAACCTTTTGGTACCATCACTAGTTGCAAGGTCATGCGCGACGAGAAGAACACCTCAAAGGGCTTTGGATTTGTATGCTTTTCATCCCCCGACGAAGCTACCAAGGCGGTTGCAGAGATGAACAACAAGATGATTGGCTCAAAGCCATTGTACGTCTCTCTCGCTCAACGCCGCGAGGTTCGCAGGCAGCAACTGGAAAGCCAGATTGCTCAGCGGAACCAGATCCGCATGCAACAGGCTGCGGCTGCTGGAATGCCAGGGCCTGCTTACATGGGTGCTCCCCTCTACTACCCTGGTCCTGGCGGTTTCCCTCCTCAGAGCCGCAACATGATGGGTTACGGTCAACCTGGTATGATGCCTCCACGTCCCCGCTACCCTCCCAGCAACGGCCAAGCTCCCGCCGGCATGCCCATGCCTCCTGCTTATGGCGCACCTCCTCAGTTTGGTATGCCTGGGTATTCTCGTGGAGGCCCTCGTCCTCCCGTTGCCCGTGGACCTGGTTCTTCCCCCACCAATCCTAATGTTCCCCTGCCGCGTGTCAATGGCCCCCCGGCCAATGGTGCTGTTCCTCGCCCCGGTCCTCCCCAAGGCGGTGCGCCTCCCTCTCGTCCTCCTGGTGGTGCTCCTGTTCCTGGTGCTCGCAGCCAGCAGCAGTACAAGCTCAATCCTCAGACTCGCAATGCTGTTGCCGCTCCGGTTCCAGCTACCTCTCCCCCTGCGAGCGCGGCTCACCCGCAGGCTGACGCCATCCAGGCTGCCATGGCTAATGCATCTCCTATGGAACAGAAGCAGATGCTCGGCGAGATCATTTACATGAATATCCTGACGTAAGTTATCACTGATTTAATTGCGCATTGTTATTGATATCGCTTATCGTAGTTCCCAACCTGAGTTGGCTGGCAAGATTACTGGCATGTTGCTCGAGATGGACAATGCAGAACTCTTCCACCTCCTTCAGTCCACTGATGCTATGGCTGCCAAGGTCAACGAGGCTCTCGCTGTACTCCACGATTTCGCAAAGGAAGAAGCTTGAGCACCGGAGAAGCATGAGGTGTAGCTTGGGGTCATTTGGCGGATTTGTTGTTTCAAGATATTGTTTTCCGGAGCAGATTCTCGGCTCGTCCTTTCGTTTCGTTTACACGCTGTGTGGCATGTTTATCATCTGCGACTGCTGCCTCCTCGTCATCGCTTTTTCTCTATGTCATAGGTATAGGTGGTGGTCAATCCTTTGTGTACTTAAATAAAGGAACAGAGGTGATATGCTTGTATTGTCTGCATGTGTGATTTCTCCTGCCTTCGAATGCTCGTCACGTATTCATCGTGCCAATCATTAACATGAAAAAGTAGGATACATGAAGAGCTATGGTACTTTTCCAACGCCCAGACAGC